GTGCTGTAGACTTGTCCTGACGCCAGACCTATTTTCTGTTTCCAGCTTTGCCTGTGAACTGTTACCTGACTGTAGGCAGGTCACTCAAACCGTCTTGAAACCTTTTGCACCCTGTATATCCTGTCTGGTCTAGATCCACCACAGATTGCTGGGTCAACCTAGCTGCGTTGCAGTCGGAAGCCGATATTTGTGCTTCTGTAATGCAAATTCTGGGAAAGGAGCTACCCTTCACCATGTGTTTGTACGGTGCCTCACGCCAGAGAGCACTGATCTATTACAGGTAATAAATAGTCATCCAATTGCTTATCTTTCTACTAATTCTGGTTCAGAGGAAGATAAGATCATTCACCTGCAGAAACCTTCATTGGCTGGGAGCCTTTTTGTGCACATTTTCTATATTAATATCAAGCAGGATTTAGTCTATTAAATTTAAGTGGTACATGGTGTACATGTTCAGTACTGCCAACACTCTGTTTTTCAATAGACATGCTGTGTATATTTGTTTTAAGCATCAGTATCAATCTCTGATTTGATGATTTGAGTTACTTGGGCTCTCTGAAAAAAAATTAGTCTCAATTTAAATATTTTTTTTAAATTTGTCCGTAAATAATTTATTTAAACTTGCAATTATAAAAAACTTGCATGGAAGCCTAATTATACTATGTTCTAATGAAGCCTTTTTAATTTAAATTATACTACTGAAATATTTCTCTTGATGCAGTTTTGAAGAAAGAAGGAAAATCCAACAATGGAAAATTATTAACTAATTACCTGGAGCGAGCACTGAAATGATATAGCCTTTTGGAGCTGTAGCTTCTTTTGCAGGTGCATAGGTAGTGTTTTCTTTTCTAGTTAGAACAGTTCATTTCAACGTGGAAAACAGGTCTGACAGCTGAGTAAAAAACATGTTCTCCTCTTCCCATCTGTGATTATAAAACTGACAGAGGAGGCTAAGACACTACCTAAATCTTGAAGCATAAAAGGTCCAATCCAAAACAAGAGTAGGAACATATTCCAGACACTGAAGTTCAACATTTCAGGGGACTGTAAGCCAGTAATATGACATTTGTGTGCAGTGAGTGTTTTTCTAACATGTATATCTGGCTTCTGGTCGAGAACTGGTTTGGATCCATCACATGTGGAGGTGTAGAAGTCTGTCTGTAGTGATGCTGGGAGAAATGTGCTCCTGCACATTGACAGAACTGCCTCTGCTGTCAGAGCTGAACCTCTGCATAAGCCTTTGCGTCCAAGGCCGTTTTGGTTTCAGAGTCTGTACGAGTACACTTGAGTTTCCTTAGGAGCCCGATCTCTCCCTGCTTACGGTAGGGAGAATGTCGGTGCTTCAGTCTGCATCCAGCTTCCCAAAAAACTAGTTCTTGTTGTGTATCAGGGCCATGGTGACCAGAAGCAGTCTATACGCTTGACCTAGCCATAGAGAGGTCCTGATTCTTTTTCTTCCAATAAACCAATTATTTTTTACTATATGGTTTGATGACGATTGATTAGAATAATGTCTTGAGCAGATTGATGGTAGTTGTGTTGAACTAAATGTCTTCAAATACTGCTTTTCTTCACTTTGAATCTGTGTTTGTCCAAATGTTGCTTGATGTCATTATAAAGCCAAAAGTCCTATTCTAAATTACAAGGCATGTAATTCATAATTTTCTGTAATAACTTCTAAAAAAATTGAGAAACCGAGTAGATCTATGTTTAATAAATTAATTAAAGGTTGTATATGTCTCTTCTGTACACAGAAAACATGTTCAGTCCATTCAGAATGAAGGATACCTTTAACTGCAAATCTTCATGTTTGTGGTTAAAGAACAAGAACGAATGTTTCTTTAGGAGAGGGAAAACAAGTAAAATAAATCAAGGTTTTTGCTAGTCAGTTCAAAATTTGGTTGTCTCCAGGAGCCAAGAGTGTCCATGTATGAAATAAATCCCTTCTATTTGTGTTAGTGGATGAGGAAAGCAAATGTGTTGTTTTTCCTTGAATTCTCAACTGCAAAGTGAGGGCTTCACATTTCTACCTCAAAGGAGTGCTGAGATGTGATGATACATCTTCCAAGTGTGTATCGCTATTAAAATCCTAGGTCTGATCCTGTTATTTCCTCCAAATATTTATTTGTAAATATATGTAAACTTCTCCAGTCATTTTTTGCCACGTGAGGCAGTTTATGTAGTTGAATGTCTTGGCTTGGATTCTGTGTGAGCTTTTTTAAAAAAACACAATCAAATTAAAACAAGTGAAAAACCCTGCTCACAAAAGCATTAAATATCTCTTTCTGTTATGTAGTAGTCCTGGACAAAAATGTGACAGATGATAACTGAAAGAAGATATTTCTTTAGTACTTTCACAAAATATTTGTGCTCTGTGGAGGTCTGAAAAGACTTCATATTCCACAATCGGCTGTCTTCCCACCCTAAGATGAATGAGTGATAGCAATTTCTGGGTTTTGGTTTTTTTTTTTTTCTTTTCCTCTGTTGAAAAGCTTCATATATACTAATCTTATTTTGGCATTTTTTTATTGCACAGTGAGTCTACTCTTATGGTATAGAAACAGGTGCTGGAGCATTTGCCATTGTTATAGTGCTAGCAAAGTAATTTACCAAGATCCTGTGTTCAAAACTTTCCAGAACATCTGTTTGTTTTTACTTAATTCCCTGCATGTTAGTTTCAGAACCTTTTCAACTTACATTTAAAAAAAAATTCCCTCTCCACTCCACCCCAGGAGTTATTTCAAAGCAAGAGGAACCATTGGAGTTCTTTGTCTTATCTCTGGTTAGTAAAGGTCATGAAATTTAATCCCATACTTGAAGATCCCCAGGCAACAAATCATTGTGCGATAGGCATGGAACAAGAGAGGTCAGGACACATCACCTTATGGCACAAATAAGTAGGCATGAAATGACTGGACTGTCTTTGTATCGATGTATGCATATGCTGCCACGAAAGGAAGATGTTTCCCAGGATGTGTAACTATCTCCTTGGATGGGAAGGACGTGCAGTTCCACCTTGTCCCCACATCTGGCAAGAAGCGTGACTAAGTATGACCTCAATAGATGGGCAAAATGTGCCACCCAGGGATCAATGAACACTTTCAGTTCTCTGTGTCCAAGTCCTGGTAGTCTGCAGCCCATGACCCAAGTCCCAGTGGGGCTCTGAGAGGAAGGTTGAAAATTCTTCAAACTACATCTGGCTAGGAGGAGGGTCGTAGTCCTCTGAGTGATTAACTGAAGCTCTGGAACCTGAGATTTTGTTGTAACATTTATCTTAATGTGTAACTGGAAGGCTGAAGGCAATCCTGTTCTCTCCAAGGCCATTGCAGGATGGTGACTAAGGCAACTTATAGAGCCACAGATCCTATGGTTTCAAATGATTTCTAAGTACTAACTGCAGTCTGAATGGGAAACAAATACTGAAGAAGGTTTGTCACTTGTTGAAAACTGCTGCTCCACAAGAACTTTAGATAGTAAGAAAGGAGATGAAGTTAGCCAGGGAAGTGCTTTGTCCCCTTTTAAAGATGTGGAGCTCAGACATGCTTTCTTCACGGAATTTTCAGTTTCATTTTCATAAGTGAACTCCTATCCTTCCATGCATACGTACCCCAGCCATGACCTGATGCCGTAAGGAGGCTGCCAGCTTTCAGGCAGCTGACCACAACAAACCTCATTGAGGATGCTTGCAGCAGGTTCATCCCAGAACAGGCTTTCCATTGATTTCTGATTTTTCTGCTTCATCTCTGTTGAAACTGCCTGCAAGCTGCCCCCTTAACGTTTGCAACGCTCTTGCAGGCCAATCTGCCCCTGCTGCAGCGGGAGCTGCTGCACTGTGCAAGGCTAGCCAAGCAGAACCCAGCCCAGTACCTCGCCCAGCACGAACAGCTGCTTCTGGATGCCAGCACCACCTCACCTGTTGACTCCTCAGAGCTGCTTCTCGATGTGAACGAAAACGGGAAGAGGCGAACTCCAGACAGGTGAGCATCGCCGCGCCTTTCACACCCCGCTGAATGTGCCGAGCTCCACTAGCAAGGGGGAGGGAGAAGCATGTGGGTGGGTG